AGATAATAGAGATAATGATATATTATTGGATTTAATAGGGAATTACTTAGTTTAATTAAATATCAGAGGTATGTCGACTACTATTCTTAATTTCATTTATTATCTAATAATTGAATCAAAGCGACATCGACAGTCTTTTGGTTAATTACACTGTTTTATCTACATAGAAATTTTAATTTTAATAAAGAAGGCCCTCCAGGGGGAAGTTATGACCCCCCAAACTCCCAACTGGTTTAAAGACATTAATTTTATTGATCTGTAACTTACAAATAATACGTTTAGAGCTAGATTCTAAATTAGGCTTTAAGTCTTCCGCTATTAACTCTAATTATCAATTGTATAAATTTCAGTTAAGTTCTCTATAATTCAAAGTCTGTGATAAATTTTTTCAGTAAAATTTTAATGAAAAATTACCAATTAGATGCAAAGGACAGACCGATTCGATCCTGAAAGAATATGCTCTTTTTATAATTGCATAAGCTATTTTTTATCAATAACTACGTGGAAATACAATATTTTTTCCTCCTTGCTAGCTCCTTTCGTTTAAGCTGACACACACAAGACTGGAGAGCATCCAGCGAAAACAAAATTAACGTGAACTTTCAGAAAATTGCTTGAAGTTGGTCTGTGCTACTTGAACCATCATTTTGGTCCTAAGGGAGTAGCTGCCCCTCCGTACGGCGATTATTAGGTTATCCATCAGAACGAGCCTTCTATAGTCTAGGCGTTGTCGGTGTCTTAGCAGCCTTAACAGGACCGGGATGCCTATCATTTTTAGTCCCAATTTTAATGTAAATATGTAATACTGAATACTTTCTAAATAAATATATATCAGTCGAAAACGTATCAGAGCCATTATCAGTAACTGCTTCACTATTTTTGACAAATACACGGGGCTGTCAATTATTGATTAAAGGGGAACATCTTTCTATCACATCTTCAACTGTCACTCTAACTACTAGGCATTCCAACGACCTGTCAAAATGCTGAAAAGTGGGAATTGACAGTTTAGATATGGCAACCCTGTGGCCTGCTGTCATTGACAGGGTCAGTGATACATATTTAGTTGTATAGATTGCTCAAAGTGGATTGTTTTGTGAGCGACCATATTGCCTCACAAGTACTCATTAATCAGAATCAGTTTAGCAAAAATGTGTTTTAAAACCAATTTTCAAATTTTGAATATAGTAAAAAAAATACCTACATTTTAAATTCAAATCATACGCTTAATGTTTATTTTGAAGAACATAGATGATCAATCTATATAACTCTATATATATCATTGATTCTGTCAAATCACCAGGCTCATAAGGTTGCCATATCATAACCACATCATAACCTGTCAAAACCCACTGGTATCCATTTTGTTTGGAATGCCTAATTACAATTCAAATAGAAAAAGCATTAAGTATGGCACATTATGAAAAGATAACTTATATGAAGAATTCAAAAATATGACTATTCATTGTTTTACTTTTGATTATAGTGCCACCTAGCGGGATAAAACACTGTTACGTATTGTAAAGTATGACACTTCATTTCAAAGTTAAATTGTTTAGTAATTTAATACGTAGCATAAATTTTTTATTTTGCTTGAATGCGATTAAAATTTGTATCTCTGCAATATTTCAATTATTTAATTAGGTTTTGTTATATTGTGCATTAAATTATTAATTTCAAATGCAATACGTAACCGTTTTTATCCAATTACATGGCGATGAAATTAAAAGTAACGCGAATAATGGTCTTATTGCTAAATTCAACAAATTACCTTATTTTGATGTATTACTTGACTATACATTGTTATTAAAAAAAAATAGGAGGTTGCTGCTGGGCTCCAGGGAGTTCTAGATATCAATTTTATATTAAAATTCGGCCCCTTTTCAATAAAAGTTGAAGAGTTTTTTAAAAATGAAAAATCCCGTTTTTCGACCCCTTTCCAATAAAAGTTTCTGGGGGTCAAGTTATCGTTGATACATCCTGTATATGAGAATATTAATATTATTGGGATATGTATAGATAAGGTTAATATTAGCGTAAACTGGCGAAGTTTATCTGATTAAAAATTCTGTGCATCTTAGTAGTTTTTCTTTGCTTGTTAAGGAAAATAATGTTCTCCCTTTGACATACAGTATATCCAAATACTTTTTCTTATAAACTTTTCACTGCTTCCAAAAAAGAAAAATTATACTAACGCAATATGTACAAGACAAAAAACAAGCTTCAAGTAATTCAAAGGCTACTTGAACTACTTGAAGTGAAGTAGTTAATTATTATCATTAATGTTGACATAAACGTTTTGAGTTTTTTAATATTAGGTATACTGCGGTCGCATACTTATTTGATATATTTACTTTTATTAATTGTTTTACAGAATTGATTAAACAATTATTTACCTAATTTACTTTAAGAATATATTAAGACTCAAAGTTACTTATAAGAATATTAAAAAAAAATGTAGATACCTATATGAAAACGTACCCTCTTTTTTTTTATGTACTATCAACTAGAACAGTTACGATTATATTTTTGGAAACACCTTGTAAAATTATATTTAATTTTTTGTTGGATTAAACAATTTTTTTCCTATTTCTCATTTGATTTTGCCAAAACAAATTTAATTAGTCTGCACTATATCCTTAATTTTGCTAAAAGATTATGTAACCTTTTATCTAGAGGAATATAAAAGTAGCTAATCTTTCACCGTTCTAAAAAATATTTGATGCTCCGGTCCTGTACACAGTAACACGCGTATTACCTGACGACACCTCTTTTCCAGTGTTTCCCTTGAGAGCCGACTTCGGCCCTTTATATTACCATTTTTTTTACTGCTGCTATAGAATGGAATTCCAGCAGGATGGACCTGTAATTGGTGTGAATTTCCTTTGAAGTGTGAACTTATATAAGAGTAGATATAAATAAAAACTATTATTTTTAATAATAATAGTTTGTCTACGAACATGCGGAAAACGCGATCTTTCCACATACATTTTAGCTTAGAAAGATGTACCTTCTACTAGTGTGAAAATTTGATTAGTAATTTTCTTTCCAGTACTAGTGCTTATAACTGTATCCTTCTTCACTACCACCGTTAACCTCTCGATGAGAAATCAGCGTTTGCAAGTAACTTAATTTTCGGAAATGAACATTTAATAATATAATTAATAAGTTAAATATGTGTACATGAAATAGCAATTTGTTATAGAAAACAATTCTATATAACATGGTTATGACAAAAGTCTTGATAGCATTACTGTGTAAACAATAGAATGAATAGTGTTCATCGTCGCATTACTTGCAATTTTTTTGAAACCATTATATACTTATCAAGTTTTTTATTCACAATTGTTTTTTTTTCATCAAACTGCTGCTTCAGAAATATTTATTCTGGTAGAAATATCTGCATAAATATTCTCCACCTTGAAAAGCACTTACTGCTTAAATTTGGAAAAAAATTCATGAGTGGTTAGCCAAATATTAGGATATAAATAAAAAAATCAACTTTATGACAATTTATTGAGGCAATTTTTGCCAGATTTTCATTGTTTCTAGGACATGCTGTGTATACAGTTTTCCAGAAGTTCTTATTATTTTGTATAGATATCTCTTGAACTTTAATGATTGGATTTTTTATAAAAGGATCCTAAATACTAATGTTCTAAGAAAATATTTATCTGAGGAAAATGCTTGTATTGAATTTAAATATAGCCACTAAATTTATCATGGTATTGGTACTAGTATTTCCAGATGTAAATTATTTTCTTCGAATTATTTTAGAGCAAATTACCGTCTTTATTACACCATTTCATTCCTTTTGCTAGTTTTTCGTTGATTTGTTATTTTTAATAGATATTATTGGCGTTATTTTCAAAAGAAATATTAAAATATTAAGGGGTTTAGTCAATTTTTTGTGATTTTGTTTTCATTAATCAAAATAATAACAGGTTAAAAATATGAGACACCGTATAACTTTCAAACATAATAATAACTATAAGGAACATAGCTGTCCTGTAAAATTAAGAAAATGTCGATAGTTTAAAAGATATTAAAAAAAAAAAAAAATAAAACTACATAGCTAAGAAAATAAAAAAGTCGACTATGTGAAATTCGTGTGACAAAAAAGCAATAATGAAAAATCTCTACATTTCTAAATATTTGAGGATTAAAACCAAAAGTTTTCAGTTCATTTAACACTAAAAGAGATAAAAATCAAAGGAAACTATACAATAGCATTAAGTAAAGAGGCAGTGATTCATGTAGGTTTTATATTTAGAGGAATAAGCACGCGATTGAAACACTCACTGGGGACTTTCAGAATAGCGTCTATCAACGAAATCAGCACAATTGGACTTGTTTTCATTTTATTTTAGCACCGTTCCCTCGTGAGGAGCTATTCCAACATAATCGCATTACCGACACCCCCGACATAAAGCGAAAAAAACTATAAGGATTGATTATAAAGCAAGGAAGGCCCGCCACAGCAATGGTCCGATCGGCAGT